TGTATGAAACATTTACACTTTAAACATACAGTGTATGAAACATTTACACTTTAAACATACAGTGTATGAAACATTTACACTTTAAACATACAGTGTATGAAACATTTACACTTTAAATATACAGTGTATGAAACATTTACACTTTAAATATACAGAGCATGAAAGATTGACACTTTAAACATACAGTGTATGAAACATTTAGACTTTAAATATACAGTGTATGAAACATTTACACTTTAAATATACAGAGCATGAAAGATTGACACTTTAAACATACAGTGTATGAAACATTTAGACTTTAAACATACAGTGTATGAAACATTTACACTTTAAATATACAGAGCATGAAAGATTGACACTTTAAACATACAGTGTATGAAACATTTAGACTTTAAATATACAGTGTATGAAACATTTAGACTTTAAACATACAGTGTATGAAACATTTACACTTTAAATATACAGAGCATGAAAGATTGACACTTTAAACATACAGTGTATGAAACATTTAGACTTTAAATATACAGTGTATGAAACATTTAGACTTTAAACATACAGTGTATGAAACATTTAGACTTTAAACATACAGTGTATGAAACATTTACACTTTAAACATACAGTGTATGAAACATTTAGACTTTAAACATACAGTGTATGAAACATTTAGACTTTAAACATACAGTGTATGAAAGATTTAACAGTGAACATTTACACTTTAAACAAACGGTGCATGAAACATTTACACTTTAAACATACAGTGCATGAAACATTTACACTTTAGACATACAGTTCATGAAACATTACAATTAACGAAGTGTACGATAATGAAAAGAAGGTGTGTGATACTTTTATACATAAACCAATGTTCGGTCATGTGCACAGTAAACTCCTGTTCGGTACACTTGCACTGTAACAGAGACTGGAAGACTGTCACAAGGGCTGAATGTCAACACTGTGGTGTATACGTTCTTATGCAGTGAATGTTATTGAATACATCATTAAACAAGTACAAATCCATTTTTTCTTTGATTATTCTCTTATTCATAACGAAACACTATATATCTCGTTTCATCTGGTCCTGTCGAACTGGACACAGCGATGTTCAACTGTATGTTCAATGAAAGCGAAACAGTCATTTCCATTCTGGTAAGAAATCTCTGCTAAAAGTAAAGTCAATGGTAAAGATCGCCTTGACAATAATTTTTATATGACTGAACAACTGTCAGACCAAACAATCCATAATCCAAGGACCAAACACCAGACCAAGATTATTTTTATCACCCACCGATTTAAATGAAACCGTTAGAAGATTACAAAATCATATACATTGCATAATATATCCGTATTTTGACCAAAAATTTCACTTTCAAAATCCGTAAACCTTAGTGAGCATCTTTTCCATTGATGTCCAAAGATAATATGTTTGATTGTCCTGCTCAAGTTCAAGTGACATGTGAAGTTCCTGGAAGTGACTAGCGGAAGTTGAATAGCAGCAAAACCTCAGCAGCCTGAACACCTTATTAACCAACGGCGCGATATTGATTGCCTGGGAAACGTCACAAATGTTACAAGTACAATGAACTGATCCAGTGGAAGAGGGTATCCACAGAACGGTGCGGAGACCAGTGTCCAGAGGGTCTTCAGTATCTGAGGCTGCTTCAGTCTCACTAACCTTGACTAGACAGACCAGTGTCCGGAGTGTCTTCAGTATCTGAAGCTGCTTCAGTCTCACTAACCTTGACTACACAGACCAGTGTCCGGAGTGTCTTCAGTATCTGAGGCTGCTTCAGTCTCACTAACCTTGACTAGACAGACCAGTGTCCGGAGTGTCTTCAGTATCTGAAGCTGCTTCAGTCTCACTAACCTTGACTACACAGACCAGTGTACGAGGTGTCTTCAGTATCTTAGGTTCCTTCAGTCTCCCTGACCATGACTAGACAGACCAGTGTACGAGGTGTCTTCAGTATCTGAGGCTGCTTCAGTCTCACTAACATTGACTAGACAGACCAGTGTACGAGGTGTCTTCAGTATCTTAGGTTCCTTCAGTCTCCCTGACCATGACTAGACAGAGCAGTGTCCGGTGTGTCTTCAGTATCTGAGGCTGCTTCAGTCTCCCTGACCATGACTAGACAGACCAGTGTCCGGTGTGTCTTCAGTATCTGAGGCTGCTTCAGTCTCCATAACCCTGACTAGACAGACCAGTGTACGAGGTGTCTTCAGTATCTGAGGCTGCTTCAGTCTCACTAACATTGACTAGACAGACCAGTGTACGAGGTGTCTTCAGTATCTTAGGTTCCTTCAGTCTCCCTGACCAAGACTAGACAGACCAGTGTCCGATGTGTCTTCAGTATCTAAGGTTGCTTCAGTCTCCCCAACCCTGACTAGACAGATCAGTGTCCGGCGTGTCTTCACTATCTAAGGTTCCTTCAGTCTCCCTAACCTTGACTAGACAGACAAGTGTCCGGAGTGACTTCAGTATCTGAAGCTGCTTCAGTCTCACTAACCTTGACTAGACAGACCAGTGTACGAGGTGTCTTCAGTATCTAAGGTTGCTTTAGTCGCCCTAACCCTGACAAGACAGACCAGTGTCCGGTGTGTCTTCAGTATGTGAGGCTGCTTCAGTCTCCCTAACCCTGACTAGACAGACCAGTGTCCGGTGTGTCTTCGGTGTCTAAGGTTGCTTCAGTCTCCCTAACCCTGACTAGACAGACCAGTGTCCGGAGTGTCTTCACTATCTAAGGTTGCTTCAGTCTCCCCAACCCTGACTAGACAGACCAGTGTCCGGAGTGTCTGCAGTATCCTAGGCTGCTTCAGTCTCCCCAACCCTGACAAGACAGACCAGTGTCCGGAGTGTCTGCAGTATCCTAGGCTGCTTCAGTCTCCCCAACCCTGACTAGACAGACCAGTGTCCGGAGTGTCTGCAGTATCCTAGGCTGCTTCAGTCTCCCTAACCCTGACTAGACAGACCAGTGTCCGGAGTGTCTGCAGTATCCTAGGCTGCTTCAGTCTCCCCAACCCTGACAAGACAGACAAGTGTCCGGTGTGTCTTCAGTATCTGAGGCTGCTTCAGTCTCCCTAACCCTCACTGCCAGGCTGAGTTAGCCCTGATCTGTGAGCACCATGTCCATGCTCGTGGGTGCCGGTACCCATGCAGCCACCTTGTGTCATCACTAATTTCAGTTGTGTATATATATTAATATTTTTATGACTGTTTTGACTTTTATGCCCTATGGAATCTGTTTCGGCAGATACTCAATGCTGATTATTCTCTGGCGTTGCCGTATTTAATTTCACCCACTGCGGTAAGCGCCTTAGACCAGTATCACCTTCCACCACATCAAATTGACATGCCGTCATGTAAGTCCAATTTTGGTGTTAGCATCCTGAACGTCACTCACTGGTGTCAGTTACATCTTTGTTTCTCTTTCCAGACTGGAGTGTTCCTTTATCAGATTCAACATGTGTTAAACAATGCTTCAACATGCAAGGTGTCCTTTCCCCTCCGTATCTTTAATCACTGCGTGTCAAGCGGGAATACGGGGTGGTCGGGTAGCCTAGTGGTTAAAGCTTTCGCTCGTCTCGCCGAAGGACCAAGTTCGATTTCCAACATGGGTACAATGTGTGAAGCCCATTTTTGGTGCCCCAACTGTGATATTGCCAGAATATTGCTAAAAGCGGCGTAAAACCATACTCACTCACACACTTATCAAGCGGGAATACAGCTTTTGTGCATGTTGTTTTTGGCAATTTACGTTTCGTTATGTAATTCTGTTGAAAATATATCCCCAAATGAGTGAGTTACAGTGGTGTTATTTGCTTTCTTTAAGGTAGCAACCATCTGATCCTCGGTGTGTGTTGGGGTATAGATGGGGAGAGTCGGAGTGTTGGTTTGAGTTTTTTTTTTGTTATATAGGAGCTCTATTAACTATAAAATAAATACAAATAACGAACGTATCCAGTGTTGTTCTTTAAGCATACCCGACAACCTACAAGGTTCAACAAGGAATTTATCAATATTAAGTTTGTTTCTAAAAGGGGCTCGGTGCGCACCAGTTTGGCCTTACAGTCGTAATGAAAGGTTATAGTCCTGTTTAATGTAATACACATTTTGGAGTATGTAATACTCTGATCTTTGTTCTTGAAACATTAATCATAAATTTAAGTGTGCAATCGCACTAAAGCATTTCAGCATGGTATTTTGTTTCTACTTGTGTTTGAACCGACTCTGAATAGAAAAGGGGGACATGCTTCACAAGTATTTGGACCTTGCCGCACTTCCTCCAGACATTCGTTGTCTTTATTTTTTTTATACAGATATATAGAAATAGTGACTGACATTGACAACGTCCGGCATTGGTTGTATTGTCGTCCATGTATATGTGAAGAAACATACGTCGTTGCAACGTTTTCATTGAACGTTTTAACAACGTAAGAAAAAGACGCCGTGACAACGTTCTGCATTGGTTATATTTTGGTTCACACAACCTTGTAGCAACCAATCTCTGAATATACAGATTTAGGTTGTGACAACGTAGCCTCACAATGTTGTAGCAACGAAAATTCAAGTCACAAAAGACTAAAAGTACTTCCTCCTTGGTGACCTCAGTTGCATGTTTATCGGATCGTGATAACAAGTTTATGGGATTGGTTTATCACATCAACGTCACCGTCTGGTTTCTGAGAACCGCGTTCTGTAATTTCCCATGGCGTAATCTATAGCTCGTGTGTGGCTACATGTGTATGTGGGAGTAGCACCGACTCACACCATGTGTCTTTCTCCAAATCATTTTAAGATTTATAGATGACATTTCCTAAACGTTGCTATGAGAAGCATAAAATGGGGACAGGGTATCTGATTAGCTGGTTAGGTCCGCGGAACACTCATTCCAACACTAGTGTCGTCTCTGTACGATATGACCTCGACCACCACATGACTGTCACATGACCAAGGAGTCTGTCGTGAACCTGATTTGATTTATTTTAAATTGTTCCCGTGCTTATCAGCAAACCTGTCCCATCCCTCATTACGTCACTACGTCACACAGTCGCGTGTGGAGAGACGGGTGTCGGGACACAAGGTAAGTTAGAGTGTTACACTACATACAGGGAGAGAGAGATATGTGGCATTCTGCTGGAACATACATTAGTTCCTCAAACTGGAGAGGTCCATTGTTTTTCAGAAATAATCACCCACTGTGTGAAACTGGTCAGTTTAGTCACATCGAGTCCTTGGAATCTACTTTAACCCAGGTCGAAATGGAGTTACATTAGGTTGAGATTGTGAGAATAATTTACACGTTAACCATTTCTCGTCACGAGTAGTTTATTGTTTGCATTACCCATCGTCAAGTTTTAAGTAGATAAGAAACAGTTTACGCTTATAACAGAGGCGAAGTCGCATTTCATAATATCCAAGCGCATGTGAAATGGCATCAAATCCGTGGAATTGTACCTGATCACATACAGTCTACTCAATGCGAAATAGTCGTTTAAGCGGCATTATGTCTTTGACAATTTAAGCAATGCAATACATGTTGGTGATAAATATATATTTGATTCCTATATAATAGTATAACAATGAATTCAAAATGTCTTGGCATTGTTGTTAATAAAAAACAACATCGAAGTCACTAGCTCTCATGACTAGGAAAAGCAATACAGATTATAGGGACATTCAGTAAATAATTCAATAAACTAAAATATCTAGTCAGTGATGGCACCATGGTTGAAGATACAAAATAAAAGCACGTGTTTTAACAGGAAGAACACTGCAGTGTACAATCAGTTACAAAGTATGACAGAAAACACCATTTGTAATCTTCTGGAGAGTATAACACAATTATGACTTTTCTACGACAACAGCACAAATGCACATTTGATAAGACAGAAGTATAGCAATTGCTTCGAAGATAGCTTTGCGAACGTGTCCATGATTGCGTGAGTCCTGGTACAAGTTGTTAACATTTTGCACCCAAATAGTTCCTAGTAACCACGTATTACACATGGGTATGCAGTCTATTACTGAATCACTAGGATGGTCACTAGATCACTGGTATTGTCACTGACACCAACATCAGCTGTCAACAGGTCTTCACTGAGGCCTCCGTTGTCATAGCAAGGAATGTGTGCAGCTGGACACATACCATGATGACACAGGTCGTGGTGTGGGGTCTGTTTATTGTTCACCCTTGATGACAAACTGACACCCTGGTGAATCCCCTTGGGTGTATCTGGGTGGTTACAATAACTGAACCTTTAAATTACTAAACCTGTCTCTTTCCCGGTCCAGTGCAGAGTGAAGTGTCAATGAGAAGTGCAGGGGTGAAAACAAAAAATAGGACACTGAGATTTTAAGCTAGCCACTCAAAAAGACACCTGGGCTTACACTTTGATTGACCACCAATGATTACCTATCTACGCTACAATACAGTTGTCAGACCCAATAAGTAAACACTGACAAAAGAGCTTTAATGGTGAAACTTAACTTACAACTGCTTAAATATCTTATACAGCCTGAAATGAAAATACAATATATGATTGTCAGTTACTTAAGTATCTGAAGATATACAAAATAAAGTAAAACAGATGATTAATTAAAACATGATCACTATAAAAACAGAACTACTCTCTACAACATTCACAAGATCGTTCACTCTTATCAGGAATAGGAATGTCTACATTGCTGTTTACATGCAGGGATAGCAGATGATTTAGTCAATCGTACTTACAAATCTTAACTGTGTAGTCCATTATCGTAAACAACATGTATGAACGATATTTTATTTGGGTCAATAGAAAAAATGCCCTAGATTTCATATTACAAATCTCATTTGGCAGAAACTTGATTGTGGAAAAAGATGAATGAACATGACGAATTGGAAAAAGTAGTTCCGACAAGCATTTCCCTTCCTATAATGGTAATACGCAGTCATACAAACCTTGTGACCAGTGTTTCAATATCCAATGACAATATTTCTAATACATATTTTTAGTTTTTAAAAGCCAATATCATATATTGCACTCCAAATTTTCAGATATTTAACGTCAATTTTCTCTGTATTTGATAGACCTTTTCAATGAATCATCATGAGGGGGTGCCTCCAAAATGTCAGCCTCTTATTTCTACCTAATATTAAACCAATCTCTTAAAACGGACAATATCATTCCCAAAGTAGCTTGAGTGCTATTTTCCATTGTAAATGAGTAGTACAATCTCCCACTAGGCCATCGAGTTTCTCCAACTTTCCATATCTTTAAGCACCGAGTACAGAATCCCCTTTTCAAGCTCTCCTTCAATGACTTTACTGAAACCTTTCTTGTGTGCTTCAACAGAACACAAAATCAATAATTAAAAAGTGAAATGAAGAGGTGATAGTACGTTTCAGAAACTAAAGTTGAAAGGTTAGAATTAAGTGACATCGGTGGATATATAGTTGTTGCTGAAATTGATAGTGACAGTGATGAGAGTAACTTTGAAGGTCTTATTGTATGTGCTGCCATTCGAACAAGATCAGGGGGACGGGTCGCTTAGCTGTCTAAGGCGCCGCAATTCGCTATGAAGAGTTGTGTCCCTTGGGCACTCCAAAAACGTAGAGATTGCGGGTTCGAATCCTGGTTTGCCCCGGTTATGTTTCTAGGTTTGTCAGCAGCATGCCCGTTCTCGAGGGTTTCCACAAAGTGGTGAACTTCCTGGACATGCATCACTTCGGGTTTTCCTCCCACATTAAGCTGACACGCCCACATGTAACTGGAACACTATACACTCCAGCTTGATAACGGTGTAAGAATATAAATCCCAACGTCGCTAAATGCAACAAACCAGAAGTTGTTATCTATAAAAGTTGCATGTTTTCTTCTTTACTCACCAACTGCTGCGGGCGGTGGTGTAGCCAACTGGTTAAAGCGTTCGCTCGTCACGCCGAAGACCTGGGTTCGATTTCCGACATGGGTACAATGTGTGAAGCCCATTTCTAGTGTCCCCAGTCGTAATATTGATGGAATATTGCTAAAAGCGGCGTAAAACCACACTCACTCACTCTCCAACTTCTGCCAATCAAACAGTTAACTGAGAGACTGTTCAAAGGAGCTTTAAGCACAACGCACCAACTCATTTAAGCAGGACAGATCTGTACAGAGGAACTCGCCTTGCTTTTAACATGTTCAAGTCACTTGTTCAGTGTTAATGTTTGTATGCATTATGATTGGTCACTACTGTCAATAATAACTATATTGTCATTGCTATCAGATATTCAATATTTCAAAATCTGCACATCACACAATAAAAATTGAATTAACAATCAATTTCAAAGTCCCTAAAATACATGAATGATATTAAACAGTTATTCCTTTGTTTCAGATGGCTGCCGCCAGAAAGCTGGAGAGTCTGAATGAGAACTTCTTGACCTGTTCCATATGTAGGGAGGGATACAAAGACCCCTGTACTCTGACCTGTGGCCACACCTTCTGTAAGGGCTGTCTGGGGGAATTCCTGAAGACCAAACAAGACGCCATCAGAGCCAAGTCCATCCCGTGTCCCTACTGTCGTCAGATGACCCGAGTGCCCAGGCCTGACAGACCAGTGGAGGAGTGGGTGAAACAGATCAAGCCCAGTTTCCTCATGCAGGGACTTCTGGACACTCTAGCCTGTGGGGGAAATACTGATCATGGTAAGTAAATGTGATCTAGAAGAAACCGAAAGATCACAATATTCTTCCCAAGATCCCTGGCCGCATCTCACCAAAAGACGGTATTAGTTGCCACTCTGCCAGATGCTCGACATTAAAGGGATAAAAGAGGGACTGGTAGACTATAAAGTCAGTAAACTGTGTGTGCGTGGTGTATCCATGTTATACTCCTCTATCTCAGTGAGCTGCTACCATAAAACCGGATTTTATCCGGACTGGTAAAGGAGCGACACACACAAGCCTGCACGCACGTCACTACATAAGTGCAATAATCTTCAAAGCGATGTTAAACCTATATTTTGAATTACATCGTCGCCGATTCAGTTTCCACTGAAACAAGAAACCAAAATAGAATATCTTAAAGGAGATGGACTGTGACGCTATCATACAGCAGGTTCTCTATCCTGAATGACTGAGGTAATACCAAACCAGGTTCAGTCTATGTACGTTCAAGCGTCAAGGTGATCGAAAACTGCTTACTGTAGATAAAAGTAATGAAGGCGAAACTGAAGGGTCACCTATACCTAGAATAAACCTTAGTCATTTCAGTTTCGAAATCTATACATGTAGATTATCCCAGGGTACAGAAACTTTCGGGACACTGTGTACGTTGAACCGCACAATGGTCAGAATTAACATTTACACTTGATTCACCCTATGTACATTTATATCTTCCAACAAACGTTATTTCATTATTGTGTTAAACATTGTACGTTTAATGATGTGACAGGTTTAACCAAGACTTGTTCAGATACAGAAAACCCCTGCCATCCCTGCCAGGATCTTGGAGACAGTCATCCGGCAAACTTCTACTGTCAAGACTGTCATGTGCCGCTCTGCAAGAGATGTGTGAGGATGCATGCATCTCTTCCTGGTACGTCGAACCACGTGATTGCTGACCTTGGTGGAACAGTAAAGGTCACTAGACGACAGAGGTGCACGGAACACAACGAAGTCATGGATTTCTGCTGCAAAGACTGTGATAGAGCAATATGCCACAAGTGCTTTGTCATATACCACGGGAAATGCGACTCTGTGGTCACTCTTCAGTCCATAATGTCTGAGATGAGAAGTGTTCTTACACACAATAAGGGATTGATTACACAGAGCTTTGACGACACTGGCAGATCACTTCAACAACACAGATCACAGATTGATGCGATCAGCCACAACAAAGACAAAATAAAGTCACAGATCAGACAGGCCTCACAGAAAGCCATGGACGTGATTAAACAGAAGGAGAAACAGCTGCTGGAGGAGCTGAATGAGATGACAGAGAAGCAGTCTGGACAACTGAGGGGGCGGATAAAGTCAGGGGAAATAGACATGCAGATGTATCAACAATATATAGAGTACATCACCCAGGTGTTGAAGTCTGGGAGTGAGAATGACATGTTTGACGTTTACCAGATGTGTCAGTCTGGGGCAATCAAAGAGGCAACAGACAGGGATGTCACTTTCACAGACAGTGTTCCTGATTCAAAACTTATATTTGTAAGTGAAATAGATGAGAGGAAATTACACAAGGATGTACAACTTGGTAGAATGCAACAGAACGTTTGTTACGTCATGGATACGCGACTTGGTAAAATACAGTGTGGCAAATTTGACGTCATGTGCAGACCAGTGTTACACAAGACAGTCGGCATTAGGGTCGATGGCGACAGGTTGCAGACGTATCCATATGACGCCACAGTCCTGGTTGTGGATGGTGAGGAGACACTGGTGGTCACTGACTACAACAATACATGTCTGAAATCCTTCTACACAAAGAATAACATATCACGACACAGTAAACTGGATCTTGCAAGTAACCCAAGCTCTGTGACGAGGCTGAGTGACAACCAGGTGGCTGTATCATTCTGGTCACACAATGAGATTGTCATAGTACGGGTGACCCCCGATCTTGTACTACAGTCAAGTGTCACAACAAAGAAGGAATACATATGCCAAACAGCCTTGAATCCTTCAACATTAGCAGCAGGTTGTGGGGACCATCCCTGTGTTGACATCCTGGATATATCAGGGAGAGTGATGAGGTCAGTCAGTAGATTCAACTCTGGGAAGAACCTGATATGTCACCCATTCTGCCTATGTGCTACAGACAGGGGCAACATCCTAGTGTCAGATTCTGGCTCACACTCTGTCTACTGTATCACACCAGAGGGAGATGTTGTGTTCACCTACACCCCTACAGGAGAGAGTAGACTGAGTTTACCACGAGGTATAACAACTACCAGCACGGGACACATCCTGGTGGCGGACTACTTGGCACACAAGGTGGTACTACTGACACCAGCAGGGGAGTTTGTCAGAGACCTGCTGACGTTACAGGATGGAATACGGTATCCATGCGGCTTGATGTTCTGTGACTGTAAACTGTATGTGGGGGAAGTCGAAGGAGGTGTTGTGAAGGTATTCAACTGCAGGATTCCCCAGTGAGACCCCAGGAAGCAAAACATACTCCGATCGTGCGCAGATTTTTATAATGAAAATTCAGAAATATGCCCAAAATGAACAGTTTGTTTTGTGGAAAATACCCCAAACGCCAAACACATTTGAACATAGATTACAGTGAATGAGTGAATATGATAATACGCCGCTTTAAGCAGTATTCGAGCAATACCCTTACAACGACGTGGGCACATTGTAGCCATGTGACCAGCCGAAACTGAGACATCGGCAGGACGAGCGAACATTTGTTTCCGCATACAAATGACAAGCGCACATAGATAATGGATTATTAGATCAGTTGTAGTGGCATTTTTCAGTTAAATGTGGGGACAAGACCGACATTATGCAGGTCAAAGACCTTTACATCTTTGGAGAAACCCACAAGCGCGGAAACGGTGCTGACAAACCTCGAAAATTAATCAGGGCGAATCTGGGATTCAAACCCACGACTATAGGTTCCTGTCACGTCGGCGCCACAGGGTACCTCATACATTCTGGAAGGCTAAGGAATTTAACCCTGAATATTGCACTTACTAAAACAGCTACACGTTCACTTACATTATCTAGGAAGACCGTTTACTAGCGTTACCATCAGTGACTCTCGTTGATAATACTTTTACTGGTGCTTGAGACATCCACCTAAATACCCTATAAACATCAAGTATGTATTTCATGACTGTAGAAAATGTATTTATTTTTTACTTTATACAGCTACATTTCAATGTTTGGTGGGTTTTAATATAATTTATATGTTTTAATGATGTTTTAAGAAGATTCTCGTTAGCTTTACCAGACTGGATATTGTTCATTTTTATTGTTTAAATAACATGTTATATTTATATTATGTACAATATGTGACAGTATAATATCATATGTATTATCTTATATGTTCTTACATTTACTAATGCCTACACACTTCCACAATTTGTAGACTGATAGGATAACCACTATCATTAATGTGAAAGTCATATTTCATGTATATTGAATAAACTTTTCATACGCATTTAAATGTTCCATCTGTGAGTTTGTTTGCTGTTTTACGCCGCACTCAGAAACATCGCAGCTATGTGACGGTGGTCTGTAAATGCTCGAGTCTGGAGTCAGCGAGCCTGACCGCCCGATTCCGTAGGTCGCCTCTCACGGCAGGCATGCTGAAGACCAATTCTAACCAGGAATCTTCACGGGGTTGATGAGCCCTGGATGAAGTCAAGTTTCACTTTTAACTTTGTACAATGTTTCTTCCATTGTTGTGTGCTTAGTCGCATATCTTCTCGTCCATGAGCGCGCTTCGTAATTGAAATTCCACTTGAGTAAGTAAAGACACATGAATTATCTCCCTTTGACCACGACGTAGTTGGTGCCAAATGTTCGTTAAATGTTCGTACTTTTAACGGCGTCAATCGTTTTGCAGGCCGACAAATAGAAACAGACAAGAACGCCCTGCCCCTGGTGCTCGGAAAATCAATTGCCATGATTGTTTTAGATTGTAAAAATCGATATATGCACCAGGGATGGAAACTTGTACTTTTAGCTTTTTATAATTTTCATATCGATCCTTTAAACCCGATGCTTCAATTCTTAATGACATTCACCCAGGACGGTTTTGACAAAACAAAAGGCTGTGCCTGTCGTAAGAGGTGGGTATGTTTGTAAAGGATCAAAACCTTCTTTTCGGTCTTGACGAAGCTTCGCCCTCCCTAATTTCCCTTCTCCCAGGGCTTACATTTCCCGTCAAGACCGAAAAGGAGGATTTGATCTGACTTATAAACCATCAAATTAACTTAGAACCGTGTTAATGAATATCAATGATTCTCATATGACTGGTGTGTCTCGCTTTCATGAACGCTGTTTACGCGGCGGTAATCAATCGCACAAACGCAACGCACGTGCATTTGCTGCACGAGCAGGTTATATCTCGGTCAAGTACACGTGGTTTCATTCACATGTGTTGGAGAAATGGCCGAGGAAGGGGAAGACCTTTTTATTACACAGTCCACATTTATCAATGAAATTTCCGAAAGTGATGCTCGTGATGCTGATAAAGATGATGTAGACGATTTTGCGTTTCGCTTTGGAGAGCCATTGTGTGAGAGGGACATAGAAGAAAAATGTGCCATACAACAAGATTATACCGTGGTGAAGTTAATAAGCAAATGATCTGCGAAGTAACAGGTAGGTATAAATTTGTAAAAATAAATATTAAGCAGAAAACACATTTCTCGGTCATTTTTCGGAGAAATCAGTCCACATGGTATTTTATTATTTGGGATACTTGAAAGTGCACGAAATGATCATTGGAACATTGCAGAAAGCCGTAAAATCAATTTGTTTTATCAAGTGTTCTTAAGGTATCAAAATGGTGATGCAGACTTTTCACCAGCTATAAATCGGATGAACCTGATGACTGAAAATTTGCTGAAAACCGTTTAAATAAATCTGATAACCGCGATATGACAACAAAATGTTGTATGTTTTGAAATGTTCATAGTATTTTCGAAAAACCTCTTATCTATGTACTCTAGCAAGCGGGTCAGATGAATATGTATTATATCACTGTTTGAACATATGTTTCAGGGCATAGAAGTGATGCCGTACGTACGTATAAACGTACTTCAGACGAGCAAAGGAGGACCCTGTCGGACATCATTGCCAAAAAGAGGAAGCAGGATGCTAGCTCTGAGCCGACGCCGATTGTAACTGAAACGTCTAAGCCCGAGCCTTCCCCCGAAAAAGATGAAATGGACATTGGTTGTCGTTTTGTTCTCAATTTCACTTTTCATTAAACCTACTTCATAAGTGTTGCTTTCATAAATTTGCACTTTGGGGCATTTGGGAAACGAGGTTTGCCCTTAGGCTCATCTGCACAACGCGATTTTAGTGCTAAAACTTTTTTAAACTACTTAACTTGGGAAACTCAAACATTAGCACTTAAATCGCTTTGCGCATCTGAAGCCAGATCTTACCAGCGGAATGCCCAGGTCTTACCAGCAGAATTCCCGGGTCTTACCAGCAGAATGCTCAGGGCATTCTGCTGGTAAGACCCGGGCATTCTGCCGGTAAAACTTGTGGGAACGATAGCAGAGTTTACCTCCGCAAAGAAGAGACTGTCTGAACAATGGAGTGACGTCATCAAAAGTTTATAAGTCGTAAAGGTGACTAACGGGATCGGGTAGTCAGGATGATTGACTTGTTTGATGCATGTCATCGTATCCCAACTGCGTGGATCGATGCTTATGATGTCAATCACTTGATTGTCTGGTCCAGACCCGATTATTTACAGACTGCCGTCATGTAGCTTCAATATTACTGAGTTTGGCGTTAAAGAACAAACAAAACTCTAGTTTGTGGTGAGGGAGGGAGTCAGTCATGCTCTGTTATAATGGTGACTGAGTGTTACAACGTTTGACACTGATTGTGTGTCATTGCTGCCGTCATCAAAAGTCGAGTGCAAGGATTGCTGTAAATAGAGCCCACGACACATGTGGACCCGTGTTATTGCTGTCAGCCTGTGGTCTGCATGTCCCGTATTCGACTGTTTGTATACAGGCTGATATCACTGAAATGTTGCTGACTGGGGGACGTCCATGTATCTCCGCTGAGCTTCTCGATGATCCCCGTGTTGATGGCCATACACTATGTATACACGTACAAGTACGGACAATGATATGGTGTTAAGTATTGTTGTTTGTGGTAAAAAAGACACATCAGAATGTCTACACCAGTCATTAAGGTATGTTAATGTCTTAGTGCTTATATATATGGACATACAGATATATTCCGTACAGGTGCAACGGGTGGCTGTTCAGAGTTGCGTCCCTTGGGGAAGCCAGAAACCTTTGATTGTGGTTGCGATTCCCGGTTTTATTCGATTATGTTTCTAAATCTGTCAGCACCATACCCGTATACGTGATTGTTGCTTTCCCAGTATCGGTAGATTTCTTAGACCTGCATCACTTCGGACTTTCCTTCCACAGTAAGCTGACAAACCGAGATATGACTGGAATACTGTTCAAAGCGGCGTTGAAACAACGCTCTCAGTAATTCAATTTGTTTCTAGGAGGGGTGCCCGGGTTTTTTTTGGGTTTTTTTAAACACAGTTCATAATCATATTTAAATACAAATCTCAACCTCCATCTGTATTTAAAAAGTGTACATTATTCATCCAATAGGTTACTAGATACATTACTGCCCTGCTCACAACACATCCAACAGCTTATGGGGCGGTCGGGTAGCCCAGTGGTTAAAGCGTTCACTCGTCACGCCAAAGACCCGGGTTCGATTCCTGACATGGGTACAATGTGTGAAGCCCATTTCTGGTGTCCCCCACCGTGATATTGCTGGAATATTGCTAAAAGCGGCGTAAAACCATACTCACTCACTCACTCACTCCAATATATTATATCAGATGCATTACTGTCCTGCTCACAATACACCCAATAGCCACTAGATGGATTACTGCCCTGCTCACAACACACCCAATAGCCACTAGATGCATTAAAGCCCTGCTCACAACAGATGCAATAGCCACTAGATGAATTACTGCCCTGCTCACAACACACCCAATAGCCGCTAGATGCATTACAGCCCTGCTCACATCATATCCAATAGACACTAGATGCATTACTGTCCTCCTCACAACACATGCAATAGCCACTAGATGAATTACTGCCCTGCTCACAACACATCCAATAGCCACTAGATGCATTAAAGCCCTGCTCACATCACATCCAATCGCTTACACTAGAAAGATTACTGTCCTGCTCACAACACATCCAATAGCCACTAGATACATTACCTCCCTGCTCACAACACACCCAATAGCCGCTAGATACATTACTGCCCTGCTCACAACACATCCAAAAGCCGCTAGATACATTACCTCCCTGCTCACAACACATCCAATAGCCACTAGATACATTACAGCCCTGCTCACAACATATCCAATAGCCGCTAGATGCTTTACTGCTCTGCTCACAACACACCCAATAGCCAACTAGACGCATTACTGTCCTGCTCACAACACATCCAATAGCCGCTACATGCATTACTGCCCTGCTCACAACACATGCAATAGCCGCTAGATACATTACTGCCCTGCTCACAACACATCCAATAGCCGCTAAAATCACTACTGCCCTGCTCACAACACATCAAATAGCCGCTAGATACATTACCTCCCTGCTCACAACACATCCAATAGCCACTAGATACATTACAGCCCTGCTCACACGTATCCAATAGCCGCTAGATGCATTACTGCTCTGCTCACAACACACCCAATCGCCAACTAGACACATTACTGTCCTGCTCACAACACATCCAATAGCCGCTACATGCATTACTGCCCTGCTCACAACACATGCAATAGCCGCTGGAAACATTACTGCTGTGCTCACAACACATCCAACAGCCGCTAAAATCATTACTGCCCTGATCACAACACATCCAATAGCCGTTAGATACATTACTGTCATGCTCACAACACATCCATTAGCCGCTAGAATCATTACTGCCCTGCTCACAACACATCCAATAGCCGCTTGATACATTACTGCCCTGCTCACAAAACATCCAATAGCAACTAGATACATTACTGAACTGCTCACAACACATCCAATAGCCGCTAGATACATTACTGCCCTGCTCACAACACATCCAATAGCCACTAGATACATTACTGCCCTACTCACAACACATCCAATAGCCGCTAGAATCATTACCTCCCTGCTCACAACACATCCAATAGCCACTAGATGCATTACTGCCCTGCTCACAACACATCCAAAAGCCGCTAGATACATTACCTCCCTGCTCACAACACACCCAATAGCCACTAGATACATTACAGCCCTGCTCACAACATATCCAATAGACGCTAGATGCATTACTGCTCTGCTCACAACACACCCAATAGCCAACTAGACACATTACTGTCCTGCTCACAACACATCCAATAGCCGCTACATGCATTACTGCCCTGCTCACAACACATGCAATAGCCGCTAGATACATTACTGCCCTGCTCACAACACATCCAATAGCCGCTAAAATCACTACTGCCCTGCTCACAACACATCAAATAGCCGCTAGATACATTACCTCCCTGCTCACAACACACCCAATAGCCACTAGATACATTACAGCCCTGCTCACAACATATCCAATAGCCGCTAGATGCATTACTGCTCTGCTCACAACACACCCAATAGCCAACTAGACACATTACTGTCCTGCTCACAACACATCCAATAGCCGCTACATGCATTACTGCCCTGCTCACAACACATGCAATAGCCGCTAGATACATTACTGCCCTGCTCACAACACATCCAATAGCCGCTAAAATCACTACTGCCCTGCTCACAACACATCAAATAGCCGCTAGATGCATTACCTCCCTGCTCACAACACACCCAATAGACACTAGATACATTACAGCCCTGCTCACAACATATCCAATAGCCGCTAGATGCATTACTGTTCTGCTCACAACACATGCAATAGCCGCTAGAAACATTACTGCCCTGCTCACAACACATCCAATAGCCGCTAAAATCATTACTGCCCTGCTCACAACATATCCAATAGCCGCTAGATGCATTACTGCCCTGCTCACAACACATGCAATAGCCGCTAGAAACATTACTGCCCTGCTCACAACACATCCAATAGCCGCTAAAATCATTACTGCCCTGCTCACAACACATCCAATAGCCGCTAGAATCATTACTGCCCTGCTCACAACACATCCAATAGCCGCTGGATACATTACTGCCCTGCTCACAAAACATCCAATAGCCACTACATACATTACTGAACTGCTCACAACACATCCAATAGCCGCTAGATACATTACTGCCCTGCTCACAACACATCCAATAGCCGCTAGATACATTACTGAACTGCTCACAACACATCCAATAGCCGCTAGAATCATTACCTCCCTGCTCACAACACATCCAAAAGCCACTAGATGCATTACTGCCCTGCTCACAACACATGCAATAGCCGCTAGATACATTACTGCCCTGCTCACAACACATCCAATAGCCGCTAGAATCATTACTGTCATGCTCACAACACACCCAATAGCCGCTAGATACATTACTGTCATGCTCACAACACATCCAATAGCCGCTAGATACATTACTGCCCTGCTCACAACACATCCAATAGCCGCTAGATACATTACTGCCCTACTCACAACACATCCAATAGCCACTAGAATCATTACCTCCCTGCTCACAACACATCCAATAGCCGCTAGATGCATTACTGCCCTGCTCACAACACATGCAATAGCCCCTAGATACATTACTGCCCTGCTCACAACACCTCCAATAGCCGCTAGATACATTACTGTCATGCTCACAACACATCCAATAGCCACTAGAATCATTACTGCCCTGCTCACAACACATCTAATAGCCGCTAGATACATTACAGCCCTGCTCACAAAACATCCAATAGCCACTAGATACATTACTGCCCTGCTCATAACACATCCAATAGCCGCTAGATACATTACTGCCCTGCTCAAGACACATCCAATAGCCGCTAGATACATTACTGCCCTACTCACAACACATCCAATAGCCGCTAGAATCATTACCTCCCTGCTCACAACACATCCAATAGCCACTAGATGCAATACTGCCCTGCTCACAACACATCCAATAGCCGCTAGAATCATTACTGTCATGCTCACAACACATCCAATAGCCGCTAGATACATTACTGTCCTGCTCACAACACATCCAATAGGCTGCTAGATACATTACTGTCCTGCTCACAACACATTCAATAGCCACTAGATGCATTACTGTC